AAAACAATAAAAAAAAATATAATTGATAATAATAATGAATTTCCACTTTTTTTTTAGTTTATATAAGATTATTATTATTTTTTATAAATATTAAATTATTATTTATTTTTTTTTTACATAATAAATATTAAAAATATTTATATAATGACGTTCAAGATGACTGCGCGAAACAAAAAAAATATTAAAAATAAAATTTCAAACAAAAAAATATTTATATAATGACGTTCAAGATGACTGCGCGAAACTAAAAAAAAATATTAAAAATAAAATTTCAAACAAAAAAAAATATTTCATGACTCATACAAAGAAAATAATAAAACTATTTATAACATACAGCACTATAAAAATATAAATACTTCATTATTATAATTTATATTCCTCATAATATATATTTTTGCAATAATTTATCATCCATCTAGTCATTATTTAATATTTCCTTATTAGGATCAAATAATTATTATAAAAATATAAATACTTCATTCATATTAAAATTTATATTCATCATAATATATATTTTTGCAATAATTTATCATCCATCTAGTCATTATTTAATATTTCCTTATTGGGATCAAATAATTTTTATTATAAAAATATAAATACTTCATTCATATTATAATTTATATTCCTCATAATATATATTTTTGCAATAATTTATCATCCATCTAGTCATTATTTAATATTTCCTTATTGGGATCAAATAATTTTTATTATAAAAATATAAATACTTCATACATATTATAATTTATATTCCTCATAATATATATTTTTGCAATAATTTATCATCCAGCTAGTCATTATTTAATATTTCCTTATTAGGATCAAATAAATTTTATTATAAAAATATATATATTTCATTCATATTATAATTTATATTCAGCTGATATATTTTTTTTATGAAAGTTTTAGTTTATAAATAAAATTCTATATATACATTATAATGTGCACTATATGATAAATAGTTATATTAATAAAGTTCTTCGTCTATTTGCTTATTAGTTTATTTGACCCTATTCAAATATAAGCATAAAATAATATAGAGATGGATTTTTTAAAAAAATATTATATTAGGTAAACAAAATAAGCATTATGATTAAGTCATTTAAGTTAAGAATTTATCTTACCATTTCTTTGCATTATTTAAAGGATAGGTAATGATTTTTAGAGGGTAGGGTGGAAAAGGGAGGTATCATAAATTAATATTGATATAGGAAATCTGAGGAAAGGTCAAATCTGGATAGTTATGAGATTGTAGTCTTCGGTTTTGGACCTATTTAAACTTAAATTTGTTTTATATTATATAAATTTCATATTGTGTAAATTGAATATTAATAAGGATATTTTTACTTCCTTTACAAATAATAAATTAAATAATATTCATATATTGCCAAGGTAACACATCCCATATGAATTTACATAGTTCGCTAGCTCTAGATATTAAAAATAGCAAATTGATTATTATTGATGAGGCCACAATGATGACTAAACACGCTTTGCGATGCATTGACCGATTACTTAAAGACATTATGAAAAATTCCCACCCATTTGGCGGAAAAGTAATCTGAACCATATCACACCCACTCTTTGGTATGAAATACAGACTAAAAATATAAAATACAGACTAGATAGGCAGCATCGGGTTATAAGATATGCCGAATTTTGTGAAAAATAAAAAGAACAAAACAATCAGATTTTCAATTTAAAAAAAAGGTATATATGGAGATCTGAACCAAGATTTTGAAGGTAGGTAGTGTAACATATAACCAATAAGATCACGCTACATAATTCTAAAATTCAAGTTTATTTGTATATAATTATAAATAATCGACTATTCAATTATATGCAATTTATAAATTATATAATTAAAAATAAAATTATATAATTAAGTCCCCAAAAAGGAACAATAATTGTGTCTAAAAATTTATATATTTTTTTGTCGAATAAAAAGGAATTCTCTTGGTTCATTTGTGAAAAGTCGTATTTTATTACCAAGATTTTTTAAAAACAAAAATGTTGAAGGCGAAAAATGCCCGTTAGTAGAAGTCGCTACTGGAGTGAATATGAAGTTTTTTAAATTTTTGTATTTGTTTATCTTTTATTTCAGCCTGTGTTATTAAATTGAAATTTATGTTTGAAGGGAATGATGAGACACACGTGTATCCCCATATGAGTGATTTGCGGAGGGCCCAAGGTATGGTTGTCATACCATCAGGTCTTAAACCATCTACTTGAGATAAATTTGATGGTTCAAGATTGTTTGGAATGTGTGAAGCTGTTAAGCTTCTATTTATTATATGGTTTACAGCTGTGGCGTTGATGTCGCCCTTGACTAAAAATGCAATTTAAGCCATATCTACCCTTTGAATCAGCGGGTGATTTGCATTTGATGCAGGATGAGGCTGTACTATATCGCAACCTAGACGTAAACCAAACTTTTCACAAATGAACCAAGAGAATTCCTTTTTATTCGACAAAAATTCAAATAGAAATTTTTAGACACAATTATGGTTACTTTTTGGGGACTCAATTATAGAATTTTATTTTTAATTATATAATTATAAATTTATAAATTATATTATTTTTAATTATGTTTTATGTAAATTATATGCAATTTAATTTATATATATATTATAAATAGAAATTATATAAATCCTTTACTTTATTGCTTAAAAGTGTTTATTTATTTGATAATTTAATCTAAAAATACAAATGAACTGTTGAAATGAAACAAATATATCTTGCAAAGCAATCAAAGATTATAATTAGACAGTTAGGGTGTATATAATTATTGTCACTAGATTATAATATTAGTAATTTTAATTACTTGTCATGAAAACTTTTACTTTTAATTTATCGCTTCCAAAACATTGGGGGCCATTTAAATCAAAATCTCACAACCCATCCGTGGGATCTTGAAAGTGTGAGATTTCGAAATCTCACAGATCATTTTCACACGCTACACCGGCATGGTTGGAATTTAACTTTTGCCCAGCTCAGCTATGTCAAATTTATGCTTAGACTAACCCATTTCCAATTTTTTGTTAAGGTGTTTGGCCCAGTCCAGGTTTGTTATACAAGGCCTAATCAAAAATATATATAATTGAATACCAAAATAAACAACTTTAAAATATTGAGGGTGGTTAAATTAAAAATACTGTACTTTCTTCTTCTCCGTTTTATGATGATTTCCAGGATTACTCGGGTAGGCAAGTTTTCCCTCTGATTTTTCTTTTCCATTTTCGACGGTCCTGATCAGTGTTGTTAAACGGCTCATTTTGAGCCGATTTTTCAAAACGGCTAACTCAATATTGGTCTTAAAAATATAGCCTAAGCCTTGAGATTTTGCTAATAGATGTTCAAGCCTTTGTTCCTTCTACAAACAAAATCGTCAGGCTTGAGTTATATTATTCTGAATGAAATAGTGAATTAGCCGTTTTTTAAAATCGGCTCCGAGCCGTTTAACAACACTAGTCCTGAGCATCAATATTTGTAAGATTCATGCTTCTCATATCCACCGCTATCACATTTGTTAACGTCATCTTGGATCTTCCTCTAGGTCATGATCCTCCTACTTCCATTATTATGCATCTCTTTACCCAGTCATCTTTTGTCATACGTTCCCCATGCCCAAACCATCTTAGTCTATTTCGTCGCATTACCATTCCAATCATTTCTATACCCAATCTTGCTTGCAATTCCTTGCTAGTTTTTCTCTCTCGCAGAGATACCCCACACATCCATCTAATCATCCTCATCTCTGTTCTTTCTAATTTGGCTTTGTGAGTCGCTTTCATTGACCATGTTTCGCCGCCATAAACTAAACAACTTCTCACACAGCTTACGTAAACTTTCCCCTTTAACTTCAGAGAGATTTTTTTATTTGTAAGAATAGAGGACATCTCTCTGAACTTCTTCCAAGCTAGTCTGGTCCTTGCAACGACGGCAGAATCTACACCACCATCTGCGTTTAGCATATCACCTAAATAACAAAACTTATCCACTTTATCTAGGGTTAACCCATTGCCAATATCCAGACCACCATTTTCTAGGTTATCATTATTATGTAACCCTTTCATGCATGTTCTACAAATTAAGGTCATTTTTCCTAACATCAAACTTCCTTTTTTCCCGCTACATCTATTATGTACCCATTTCTGGCATCTGGTGCATTGGATAGAATTTCTAGCAACTTCTTTCCCACATACACCACGAGGCCACTTAGCGGATTCCTCCATCTTTAGATTTTCCCCACCAATCATCACCTTTGTCTTTGATGCATTCATTTTCAGGCCCTTTGCTTCCATAGTCATCTTCCATTTACTAATTTTATACCTCAATTCTTCCTCACTGTTTGCCATTATACAAGGTCATCTGCATATACCTCCCAGGGAAGTCCTTCACGTATTTCTTTAGCCAGCATATCCATTACTAAGATAAATAATTATGGGCTCAGCACGGATCCTTGATGATGTCCTACCTTCACCTCAAAGCTGTCACTATCACCATAATCCGTCCGTACTGCTGTTTATGCTCTACATTGCCATCACTGTGATAACCAACCATTCCTCCACACCTGATTTTTTCAAGGCCCATCTAGTAATCTCCGGCACCCTATCGAATGCTTTCTCCAAATCAACAAACGCATAACAGAGTTTTTTTTTGCTTCGCAAGATACTTCTCCTGCATTTGTCTCACCACAAAAATTGCATCTGTCGTGCCTTTTCCCGATGTAAAACTAAACTGCATTTCATCAATTTTAATTTGTTCCCTTATCCGCTTCTCTAACACTCTCTCAAATACTTTCATTGCATGTTCCAAGAGTTTAATAACTCTGTAAGACCCGCAATCTAAAGGATAACCTTTCATTTTATATACTGGGATAATTATACATCTTCGCCAGTCCTCGGTAATAGTTCCTTCTGTGACATATTGATTGGCTAAATTCATTAACCATTCAATCCCTAAATCATCAGAACCTTTAAACATCTCTGATACCACCATCGTTAATCCCGATGCCTTCCCTTTTTCACTGCTCTCTTTATCTCATCCTTGCCAAATTTACACCCTGGACCTTCTACCTTTGCACAACTAACATTATTATCCCATTCATTTTCTTCATTCAAAAGTCCTTTCATGTAAATCTTCCAGGTGTTCTTAATACCACTACTATCAATCACTATTTTTCCTTCCATATTTTTCAAACACTTTAAACCTAGCACATCCTGCCTATTTTTTGACATCAGCTTTGCCATTCCAACCATATTTCCAATTCCATCAGCGCATTCCATTTCTTTAGCAAACTCGTGTCTTTTTTCTTCTTGAGCCTTCGCTATTAATTTCTTAGCATTTCTTTTAGCCATCTTGTAAATATCGTTATCACTATTTTCTTTGCTATTATACCATACTTTGAAACACCTCCGTTTCTCATCCACAGTTTTTGATACCTCCGGGTTCCACCACCAAGTCTCCTTATGTCTAGGCGGCCCTTTTGACCATCCACATACCTCCTCAGTTGTCATCACCCAGGCTTTCTTTATGGCATCCCACTTGTCATTTACCCCAGATGCTTGTGCCACCTCCACCTCCCTAATCGCCAATGTCATATTGAATTGACGTCTAGCACTCTCCTCCTTCAATTTCTAAATCCTCAGCCTTGGCACAAACTTTCTTTTAGTGACCCTGGTACCTTTAAGAGTGAGATCTCCTACAACTAGTCGATGCTAATTATACATCCCTCTCCCGGTATCACTTTCACATTTTTTACTATACATCGATCACACACATCTCCTAAATAACAAGTAATCCATTGCACTTTTAGTACTACCCGACTTATAGTCACCAGCTTTTCGGATTCTTTCTTAAACTTTGTATTACAGACAATCATATCCATAGCATCACTAAAATCTAAAATCCTCTCTCCTTCCAAATTTCTCATGCCGTAACTGAACCCTCCATGTACTCCTTCATAACCCTCACTATTCGCTCCCACATGTCCATTCAGATCACCAGCCAGGATAATCCCTTCTTCATATGCCAGACTCGATGTCACCCCCAATAGACTGTCCCAAAATATATCTTTCTTCATTTCTTCCAACCTGAGGAACATATGCCGAAATAATATTGTATAGCTTTCAAACAAAAATAATTTTGAAAACCATTATCTGGATATCTAGCCTTCTCACTTCGACTACTTTGTCTACCAATTTCTCCGCAACCAATACCCCAACGCCTTACCATCATTACTTCCTTGCCAAAAGAATTTATATTTTTCGCTAGTCTTGCCAATCATTCTGGTCCCATTTCCTTTCCATATAGTCTCCTGTATGCAGCACACATCTATATGCCGTTGTAACCATAGGGAAATTTTGTAGCAAGATCAACCTCTTTAAATGGTTTTTACACCCAGTCGAGGAGACGGTGATCCTAGTCTAGACCCAGATCACAGGGAACCTTTTAGACCTCCATTAGCCGCCAAAAACGTTGCCACTCCCCCGCCACGATGAGGCTGAAGGTAGGATCATACAAATTCATCAATTGTTTTCCCAGCCTGGCCCAAATATAAATTTTCAGACTTTCCCTTGCACCAACCAATCACATTCAGTGATCAAACTTTTAATAAACGTTCACATAAAAACTTAGTTTTATTGCTAACACTTTACCTTCATTAGTTGAACTAAAATTTTATTTCCACTAAATTATAATACTTGCTTACAACTTTTCAAGCTAAACATAATTAGCTAATAATTTTAAATATATTTAATTTGTGGCTGTCTATTTATTCAATTCTTAATTTTTTATAAAATTAATCAAACTGTATTAACTTTCATTCATTTGTTATAATTTCGTTATATCGACAATTTATATCAAGGTAAGTTATAATAATAGTAAAAAAATTAGTAAATCACAATTTTTATTATATTTTTTTAAATTTATATTTTTTGTTATAATTTTATTTTCTTATCACATAAAAGTTGTTTAAATATAAATAATATAATGTTTTTTTCTTGGAAAATGTACTACAACATAAATTAATGAATAAAATAAAAAATTATCATAGATAAAATTTGCGCCACCTAGAGGATAGATCCTTAGTAAATTATTAATAAATAAGTAAAAAATATTTGTTTATAAAAAATTTAATAAGCAATAAATTTATATTAATTACACTTATAAATTAAAAGTAAATATTTATATTTTATCTAATTAATATTTTAAATCAAATACTTTTGGGAAAATAGATTATTTCTTGATAGACACCTATATTCATGAAGTAATTTGTTGGCATATATCACTATATGCTATTAACATTCAGTACTTACCTGGCGCGAGGGTAACCGTGATCATGAAGGCGGTTCCCTTAGTTGGAGGCTTTGCCATTGCACTATTGGTCGAGTTGAAGGCTACGATTACCCCAAATGTGGGTAATTCGAGCGCATAATTTCTGGTAGTTGGGATTTGCGTACGCGCAAATCCCTTTATAAAGTAAACAATTTAGAATCTTTTTCGGAATATTTCATATGTTAAGCATTTTCATTTGTTAGCAATTGTAAATAAATATACATCTAATAAGTATTGTAATGCTATTAAAAACATCAAATTCTATACAATGATATTCACAATATCAAATTCTATACAATGATATTCACAATATCAAATTCTATACAATGATATTCACAATATCAAATTCTAAGTATTACAATGATATTAAAAACATCAAATTCTATACAATGATATTCACAATATCAAATTCTATACAATGATATTCACAATATCAAATTCTATACAATGATATTCACAATCAAATTCTAAGTATTACAATGATATTCAAAACATCAAATTCTAAATATTGCAATGATATTCAAAACATCAAATTCTAATTATTACAATGATATTCAAAACATCATATACTAAGTTTTACAAGGATAATCAAAACATCAAATTCTAATTATTACATCATATACTAAGTTTTACAATGATAATCAAAACATCAAATTTTAAATATTACAATGATAAACACAAATTAAGAATTATTATCTTTCAGTTACTTAACAAATTCTAAGTATTACATTGATATTCAAAACATCAAATTTTAAGTATTACAATAATAAACAAAACATCAAATTAAAAATTATCTTTCAGTTACTTAATAGGCTGATATAATTAGTCTTGTGTATAATAATTATTGCCATTCAGCCTGAATCTTTATAAACAATACTGGGTTTTGTCAACTTTACAATCTCTACTTATTTGTTTAATAATATTTTAATATGTGCTAAAATAATAATATATACAATGCTTATTATTTGGATATAATTCTATATACAATGCTTATTATTTGGATATAATTCTATATACAATGCTTATTATTTGGATATAATTCTATATACAATGCTTATTATTTGGATATAATTCTATATACAATGCTTATTTTTTGGATATAATTCTATATACAAATTATTTTGATAATGTTAGTATATCATATTTTAAAAATTTTCAAATTAATATGCCATAATAGTTATATTTTAAGTAATTCAAAAGAGTACATAAAATAATATAAAATCTTTTTATTTATTAAACTAAATTGAATATATAGTTATTATATAAAACATTTGACACTAGATTAATTAAAAGAAAATGAAAAATATTATTTTGGAAGAAATTTTATGTCTTTCAATTAATTATCTTAAAAAATAGTTAATACATATGTTGTAAAAGGTAATTTTGTTAATTTGAAAGATTTTCACTTTACATTACAGTAATTTTTAAATGCATTCAAGTGTCAGGTTTGTATTATTTGGTTGGATGCATCCTGGATTTTTAATCCAATATTGTCAGGGTTTCATTTCATCCAATTTCATAATATCTGATATTGCCTGCTTAATGATATGTCATCTGATCTGTGGTGTGTGAAAATCATTTAGTTGCAATTGTGTTACACATCAAATTTTTATAGGTCTTGAAATTATTTTTTTTTAAATTGAAGTTATAACACTGATATATAAATATTTTAAGTTAAAATATGCCATATTTATTTTTAGAGATTAATAAAAGAAATGCACATAAAATGATATAAAATCTCTTATATAATATTTTTGCTTTTTAGGTACATTTTCATTATTATAAGCTCTTTTTAGAGCCTTCGATACTATTAATATATATTTTTATTATTAATTTTATATATTTTTATATAGTTGTTTTAATATTTTAGTGTTTTATCATTTTTTTAAAAAATTATACAAATTTCAATATTATTTAAAGAAAAGTCATAAATCTAATAATGGTTATAAATAATGTGGTAGAGAATTTTGTTAATTCGATTCACTTAAATTCACAATAATATTTTAAATATATTTCAAGCATTCTTATATTACAAATTTTGATTTTCATGATAATATGTAAGAAATGGAAATTAATTATTATCATATATAATAAATTATCTTAATACAATATTTATAAATAATTTGATAATAAATCATTTTATTCTTATATATTAATAGTGAATATGCGCCACCTAGCGGTGTTAAATTTAATTATGTTAAAATTCCTATATTTATATATTAAATATTTTTTAATTTTATTATTAATACTATCATTTATTTGGTTTAATAATAAATATATTATATGATTTAAGATCATTCTGAATTGTATAACATTAAAAGACTGCTATATTATTCTATTTAATTTAAACCGACTATACTTTTATTTTTAATATCTGCTTATATATCATTACATAAAACATTTCATTATTACTTACTTGGCGCAGAGGACACCGTGATCAAGAAGGCGGTTCCTCTAGTTTGAGGCTTGGCCATTGCACTATAGGCCTTGCTGATAGCTATGGATACTCCAAATGTGAGTATTCCAAGCGCGTAATTTATGGGTTTGAGTGAACCGCGTACGCGCGGTTCACCACAAAATATTGTAAACAATTTAGCTAATTATTTCTTTGAATGTGTTTACAATTTAAAAATTTTTTATGCATAAGAATCACAAAATTCTAACAGAATTCAAAAATCCGATAGCAAAATCTCTGTATATTTTTGAGCAATTTTAAACTCTGCTAGCGACTTTTAACTAAAAAAGATTCCACTTTAATTTCTAAATAAATTTCACTTGTATTGTATAAAATCATTCAATTGATTATAAAACTGAGCTATCTTTAAATTTAATGTCATATTTTAACATAAACTGCAATTTTAATTAGAAACTAATTGTGGAAATATATGAAAACCCTAGCTTTCGATTAATTTAAAATTGTGAAAATAATTATTTAACTCCGCATTTGGATTAAAAAACTAAGAGTTTTTCGGAATCTCTTTATTATAAATAATAATTAATTTAATATTTTATTAATTCATCCTCCGGTGGGATATCAGAAAAAATATAAATTAGATAAAAAGAGATAGCACGAGTAATAAAGTGGAGAGAGATATTGAAGGAGATTGAAAGCTAAAAAGAAGAGAAAAAAAATTAATTCATCATAAATAACTTTAAAAAAATGTTAAAAAATTAAATACAACGAACAATATTTAATTAAAATTATATTTAAAAAAAACGAATAAGAATATATTAAAAATTATATATATTTTATAAAAAAAAAAAATTAAAAGGAACTAAAAAAATATATTAAAAAAGGTAAATATCACCCTAGAGAAGAGTGAACTCTTAAAAAATTGGACCGGAAATCTGCTTACGATGGTAAAATCCTTTATTAGTGTCCCCAGAGATCTGTCTCATTTTTTCCCTATGGTTTTAATGAAATTGAGGACCTCACTTCCGAACCGAACATGCCTAAGGTATATGTATGAACACTGTTGGTAAGGCCTGCATATTGTTTTTTAAGGATTTCTGTTTTTATGATGACAGAAAATTAGAGGTTGGACTTTGCCGCAAAATCGACACAAGTATAGTCAAGTCAGCGAGAGACCTTTAATCCATGGAATGAGGGATTTTGAAAGGTCCATTGGTTCGAGGGTGGATGGGGTATTATCTTATTTATGGGCAGCTAGGTGAATGTTGTTGATGTATTTATGGCGGGGTTGTCAGTTCAAGGGATAGTGGGATTTCGATTCGATGGGCAGGCCACAATCGATGCAAATGGATTAAAATCTTTAACGGCAAATGTATTCCAGGATATATAATTATTACCTATTATGACTTTCAGTTCAAATTATATGCCATTAAATCTTGTGCATTTTTATATGATAAATTTATTTAAATTAAAAATTGTCTAAAACACAGTATGGGTACTCTATACAAACTGAAATATATTTCTTGTCAAATCAGATGTTTTTATATAAATTTAACGTTTTGAGCAAATGATATATATTAACATTCCGAATCCCTTCCTGTATTCCATAACCCAATACGACATATTTATTTAATCAGTAACTTCATTTTAGCTTCCAATTTGTCAGGGCTCAATGAATTTTGATGTATCCAAACGTTTTGTGGCACTATAAAATATTATATACGCACTTTTAAACCGACTATACTTTTATTTTTAATATCTGCTTATATATCATTACATAAAACATTTCATTATTACTTACTTGGCGCAGAGGACACCGTGATCAAGAAGGCGGTTCCTCTAGTTTGAGGCTTGGCCATTGCACTATAGGCCTTGCTGATAGCTATGGATACTCCAAATGTGAGTATTCCAAGCGCGTAATTTATGGGTTTGAGTGAACCGCGTACGCGCGGTTCACCACAAAATATTGTAAACAATTTAGCTAATTATTTCTTTGAATGTGTTTACAATTTAAAAATTTTTTATGCATAAGAATCACAAAATTCTAACAGAATTCAAAAATCCGATAGCAAAATCTCTGTATATTTTTGAGCAATTTTAAACTCTGCTAGCGACTTTTAACTAAAAAAGATTCCACTTTAATTTCTAAATAAATTTCACTTGTATTGTATAAAATCATTCAATTGATTATAAAACTGAGCTATCTTTAAATTTAATGTCATATTTTAACATAAACTGCAATTTTAATTAGAAACTAATTGTGGAAATATATGAAAACCCTAGCTTTCGATTAATTTAAAATTGTGAAAATAATTATTTAACTCCGCATTTGGATTAAAAAACTAAGAGTTTTTCGGAATCTCTTTATTATAAATAATAATTAATTTAATATTTTATTAATTCATCCTCCGGTGGGATATCAGAAAAAATATAAATTAGATAAAAAGAGATAGCACGAGTAATAAAGTGGAGAGAGATATTGAAGGAGATTGAAAGCTAAAAAGAAGAGAAAAAAAATTAATTCATCATAAATAACTTTAAAAAAATGTTAAAAAATTAAATACAACGAACAATATTTAATTAAAATTATATTTAAAAAAAACGAATAAGAATATATTAAAAATTATATATATTTTATAAAAAAAAAAAATTAAAAGGAACTAAAAAAATATATTAAAAAAGGTAAATATCACCCTAGAGAAGAGTGAACTCTTAAAAAATTGGA